TGTCCGGGCCCTGGGTATAACCAATGGGCTGTTCCCTCTGAGCTCGAAGAGCTTTATGCCCCGAAGTGATGGGGGCAGAGAGCTTTTTCTTTTGTTTTGTTTTCAGCAAACAAAATCTCCCTGGTGTTTCCCAAATTGCCCTAATGAGTGGCTTGCCCTGCCTTTGTAGATATTGGGGGGCATCATGGCAAGAATCAGGGGGAGAAGGCCCCAGTTGGGCTTCCTGCGTTTGTAAGACTCAGGCGCACCCCTTCTCCTCGCCCTCCCAAGAGTTGGGCTCAGGTCATGGGCAGGTGCCACGGGCCTGGCCTCACAGAAGAAAGACTTCCCAATGCTGTCTGCCACCTCTTAGAAGCACACCTGGGGGTGCGGGGAGGGAGAGGCATGCTGCTGAGAGTGGGAACAGCCCAGGGGCACAGGGGAGGCACTGAAAGGGACAGTGTGGCATCTCAGAGCCATGTGCCTGTGTAGCCAGCAGTGGAGAGGTGCTCCCGCAGGGCAATTTTGTGGCCTGAGGTCCTACAGGAAATCATTCCTCCGTGTTGGCAATGTTTCTCTCTCAGGACTTGTTTCACGTCCACCTCTGCCCTTGCCGCCACCACCCATCGCCACATCATTTCCCCTGAAGCCCCGGAGGGTTCACCTGTCACTTCCAATTCCCTTCCTCTCTAGACGGGGCATGGTGGGCACACAGAGAGCCTGGGACAGAAAAGAAGGCAGGTTGTAGTCCTCTGTTGCTCTCTGCACAGATTGTATATGAAAAATCACCTGTGGGCCTGACGCATGGAGAGGGAAAACCATGAGTTCCTGTCCAGCATGTACCTGTCTTCTGCTTTCCCACTTGTTCCCACGTTGGTGTTTAAAGGGTTATTCCAGTTCACACCCCCCCAGGGGGCACAAGTGGGAGAAAGATGAGACTCCCTGCCCCTGTAAGGAGTTACCATCTCGGAAGCCCACAGGGGCAGCTCTGCTCTGTCTGTAGGGTCACTCTGAGTCAGAATGGACCGATGGCCGGGGGGGTTAAGAGCAGACCGAGTGAGAGGCCAATGAAGCATAAGCGCAGGACCCCCACTTACTTGAGCTGCTTCAAAGACCCTACTTAATTTAGAGAGAGCCCCACCCCCAAATTGTATACCCTGCAGGTTAACCCCAGGCCCTCCGTGTCTGCCAGTCAGAGCGCCATGGGTGGTCATCCTTACCACATGTGCCACCATCAGACTTAGTAATTTTCTCCTCACCCAATGGGCGTGAGATGTGAGACCATTTGGTAAACCTGCAGTCCAGCAAGTTGAAGGTTACTCACAGTTTGGATTCCCATGCCTGGCTTCCTTAGAACCTGGGAGGTTCCGGTGTCAGGCGGAGAGCCTCCCTTCCAAAGCCAGCAGGGTGGAGCCCCGCTCCACTCCCAGGCCAGGAACACTGCCCACTGGCACAGGCGAAGGTGGTGACTCAGGGTGGGGTATGGCAACCTTATCCTGACCCAGCATCCCTTCTCCAGAGTTCAAGACTCAGGCCTTTCTCTGTTGCCCAAGGGAGCCTCACGTACAGTCCTCGGGGAAGAGAGGCTGGCCCCACATGGCCAGCACAGGTCAATGACCAAGCTTGGCCTTCCCTGGCCATGACCACTGACTCCGGCCTCTGCCTCCTCTGCAGGCCCCTCTCTGTCGCTGTGTAGAAAGAGGCACGGATTCCACCAACCTGCTCTCCTTTCCTCCTCTGTACAGGAGAGGACAGGATTCTAAGCCCATGTCCCTTGGGATCTTGTTGGCCAGATTTGAGAAGTGACTTTTCCAGTTTTTCCAGAACTAGCAGACCTGCTTTGATCAGGCACCAGTGGCTTTGAACTGTTCTCTAGAAGCGGTGAAGTGTGATGCTGGGGGCTCAGCGTGGCCACAGGTCAGCCCTGTGTGTAGCGACAATGTGCTTGTGACCAGACAAGCCAGGTACATGGAAAAGGATGGCTTGTACACTTCTCAGAGGTCATTGCCCCACTTAGCGGGCACAGGGATAGCTCCAGGAGCGGTTACGTGGGCATCTTTCTGCGCACCAGAGCTTGGCGGGATGCCTCACCGCGACCTTATGCACAACAGAAGGAAACCCTGACCGTCCTTACAATTGAGCTGCTGTTTTGTGAGGGCCAGTGTTGCAGCCACTGTGTCCATCCATCCTGTTGAGGGTCTTCCTCTTGTTGGCCAACTCTCTTTACCAAGCACGGTGTCCTTCTCCGGGGACTCTCTCCTGATAATATGTCTACATTTAAGAGAGAAAGCAAATTACAGCATGCCCATAAACTAGAATGCTACCCCGTGCTACTCAGCAATACGAAGAAATACGCAAATATACGTAGCAACATGAATGGATCTGGGCACACATGGTAGGTGGTTTACGTGATATTCTTGAAGGTGGAAACATCTGCCGAGGAAAATCAGCACAGGGGGGTGTCTTGAGCAGCGGGGGCAGGGTTGGCTGCAAAGGGGCAAGGGGGAACTTTCGGGAGTGATTAGGATGACCTGTATCTTGATAAGAGTTCGAACTACACAAACTCACTCACTGCTATCGAGTGGATTCCAAATCATAACGACCCTCTAGGGCAAGACAGAGCCACTCCTGTGAGTTTCGGAGACTGTCACTCTTTATGAGAGTAGAAAGCCTCACCTTTCTCCCGTGAAGTGGCTGGTGATTTCGAACTGTTGACCTTGCAGTTAGAAGCTTAACATATAACCACTACGCCACCAGGGCTCCTTGGATTATCCTGGTGTGTGCAGGTTCAGAATTCAGTGGAAATGTGTACATTTCACCATAAGCAACCTTCTTCTGACACTGCATGCTGGCATCAATATCCGTCACCAACACCGTAATTCAAAGGCCTCAGTTCTTCCTCCGTCTCCCTTGCTCATTGTCCAGCTTTCACGGGTACATGAGGCGATTGAAAATACCGCCCGCGGTGTGGGGCAGATGCACCTTCGTCTTCAAATTGAGAAGCTATCGAGGCACCACCTCTGGGCAGCGCCCACGGGGCTGGCCAGTGTTAACAGTGTGTTTGAGCTGACATCACCGAGCCAGAAAGTAGTGGCATGTGCCCTGGGCTGCAGGCAATGGTGTGGCAGAGACGCCCCAGGACAGGGCCACCAGCCCTTCTCCAGCCGAGGCTGTTCTGTATTGCCTTCAGCAGGCTGGCTTGACTTTTGAAAAGAGTCTAGGACCTGTTTCCTGAGGAAGAGCCGCCTGGGGCCTGTGCTGTCTCTATGGAGCCAGTCAGTCTTGACCTCCATGGGGCTGGGAGGTGCCTCCTAAGGCATCCAGTGCTGAGCTGCTGATTTCCTTGCAGGAGGACCTGATTAAGTTCCACCCCCAGACACAGCCCATCCAGAACTTTGTCCCAGGTCGTCAAGTATCAGACTCCAGACAGGATGCTTTGGCCCAGGGGGTCAGGAGGTGCTGAAGACCCACCAGCACCACCACATCCCAGCAGATGTTGTCTTCCAGGGCTGGATGAGCGTGGGCTGACTCCCCTTGCCCAT